CGTTTATAAGATTGATCACTTGATTCAAGTGTTGATAACGATTCAAAAACAAAAGAAAAGGACTAGCAAGGGCGGGAGAAGCAAACAAAGACAACAAAGAAAGAAAACGACTGCCAAAAGCGGGAGAAGCAAAGAAAGGTCCTGTTTCTCTGCCCTCCCACTTCCTATGCACTTTCATCCTCTCCTATTTGTACGATGACGGTTAAATCATATCAACATTTTATATTACTATTACTTTTTGTCTTATTATCGCTATAACAAAATTAATATAAAATATTAATATTGCTTAACCGTGACCGCATAAAATAAAAAATAATGAGAGTGTATGGGAAGTATGGGAAGTGGGAGAGCAGAGATCCCGGGTCCGCAAAGAAAAACAACAAAGAAAAATTGAAAAGAAAACGGAAGAAAGAAGAACAAAAGTAGAGATACTACCTTGTGGTGATGACCGACACGTGGGCGGTTATAAATTTTTATTGTTTGTTGTGCCACAAATCATGTGGCCCGGTTTTAATAACATTTTTTAAATTTTTTTTTTTTGTCTTCCCATCAAATATACATGGGTTTAAAATGTTAAGAAGGTATAAACTTTTTAGGGTTGTACTATCCGCGCACCCATTTTACTTCTTATACATTGTCACAGCCCGTCCTGGAGATACATTTGACGGGAATGTGAAATGACGGATTTATCCTTAGCTGTTATTAAGGTACGTGTGTGTGATATGTTTGAACATTTCATGGTTCCTAAGTTTTTGGAAAATTAATTAAATTGGATTAAAGGTTGATTTAAAATTTGGTATGTATTTTTGTGTGGTTAAGGAATTAAAAGACTTGGAATTTTGGTGGGTTTTGTTGGACCACACAACACACACACGGGTCAACCTCAACCCTTTCCTTCCCCCGTGCTGCCTCTCTCCTCCCTCAGGGTTTTCTCTCACTCTTTAACTCTCGACTTGTACGGACACACTCACCACCAAGCCTACAAGCACGGATCGAAGGTTGTGAAGGTACCATAGTGCTCGTGAGGACTATACGAACTCAACCACACCTATTTCAGGTAAGAAATCTTTCGATTTCACATCGAAATCCCAAGCACCGATTTTGGCACTGTTCATGAACTTTTTGATGGTTGATTTTTAGGACAATCCAAGCTCATAGTGAGCTTAGTGAGGTCTCAAGGAAGCTTGGAGTGCTTCGTTGGAAGGATTTGGACGTCGGGATCACGAGGGTTAAGTTTGGCCGGTTTTACTTGGATTTTTCCGGTGAGATTTAGTTGTTTTTGAAGCTTAAAAGTAGTATATTGTGATTCTACATGTTGAGGGCTTTAAATTGATATATTATACGAAGAAAATGGTTGAGAAACGAAGGAGAACAAGGCATTTGAAAAATGCCCAGAATCCGGCCACCGGAGAAAAACCAGTCCGGCGAACTCGCGAGGAAGAAGGTGCGCGTGGACCCGTGCCTTCCTTGGCGCGTGGGGGCGCGTTCCACAGTAAAAAATTATTTTAAAAATTTGTCGACGTCCGTGACGTCGAGTAGGTCAATGTGGTATATTCATATACCCAAATTGAGCACCGTATGAGAAAGTTATTACGATTATTGGTTAGGTGCTTTAAATAACGTTTTATAGTTTTCACATTTAGGTGAAAATGTGAATTGACGATCCGACCGTTGGATCGTCACCAAACTTTGATACGTTGTAATACATAATATTTGAGGATTATTGGAACTTACGGATTGGGAATCCGAGTTACGGATCTTTCGGAATTGGAGTTATAAGTTCAAAAAATAAAATGTTAACCGTCACTTAGTTTTGGAAATTGACGGAGATCCGACCGTTGGATGGTAATGAAATTTCAGGATGTTGTCCTAGAGATATATTGTGGACTCTGGAAGTTATGGATTTAAAATCTGAGTTGCAGATCTTTCGGATCAATCTACGTAGTGACGTATTTTATATAAGTTATATTCTATTGATATGATTTCTGAGGTTGGATTTGATTATTGTTCTAGGCGGCGATCGTCATGACGCCTTGATGAGTTGTGCTAGGGAGTTGTAGGGCGAACTCCAGGTGAGTGGGCAGTTTTGTTTTCGTATTACCTATATACTATTGAGTTTTCCCAGAAATTGAATTTAAATGAAAGCATGATTTAAAATGCCATGGATAGATTTATATGAAAAGTATGATTTGAAATGCCATGCATAGAAGTATATGAAAAGCATGAATTGATATATGATGTATATATATATATATATATGTGAATTGGTGCTGTGGACGCACAGGTAAGTATAAGGTGAGTTTTATATTATTCATGTGCATTGTTGATGTGTATATTATGGATAGCTCATAACCTGCAATCATGGTGTTAGTGCTTATATTATTCACCACACCGCACGCTCGTCTTGGATCCAAGTAGGTGGATGTCGTACAGACCAAGTGAAGGTTCCGACATGCTAGTCGTATAGATTACTAGATGTGATTCCGACTAGTGGGTGACCTTAGATTATGTGCACAGATGATTGATGAGAGAAGCACTAGAGCGTATTATTACACCATCCATGTCGTACAGACTACTTCAGGTAGTTCCGACTTATCTGCAGTGTAGTGCCGTACAGGTCATCGAGGTGACTCCGGTTGGATTGGATGTTGAGCTATGGAATTAACCGTACAAGACCAACTGCAGGGTCTCCGGTTAATTCAACTTTTCACCTGTTACATTGATGCATCATTTATTTTGTTTTCGAAATTACAACATGGCATACTTTCGGGTTTTAAAGAAAAATTGATGATTCGAGATTTATGGAAAGTATTATGTTATTATACTATTTTCTGGGAAAAGTATACAGGTTTTACAGTGAGGGGTTAGAATTATTTTTGGCGAAATGTTTTTGAAAAGCTTGGTTTTACTGACCCACTCAATTTTGTTTTTCGCCCCTCCAGGTTCTTGATAGCAGAGTTTTGGTGGCCACGAGGAATCCAACGGTATTCTGACAGAAATTACAAAAGTAGGACTCACCCTCGAGGGTTTCCATTTTAATAATTGTATTTTAAAAGCTTCCGAACTGTGTAAATGGTTACGTCACTCTCATGTGACGGCCAACATGCCCTCATTCGGGACGGGGTGTGTCATACATTCTTGATAATTTATATCTGTAAATCTTCTTCAATTCATCCGATCCGACGGACGAAAATTAAGAAGATGTGTGAAAAGGAAAATGAGGTGTGTGGATATCATACCCTAATTTTTATTGTTTGTTATCACAAATTTTTTTTAAATAAATGTACAATGATAAATTATATAAGTACTAAAACTCAGTTCGGTAGCACAATAAAGAACAAAGAAAAAGTCACTTATTATAAATCACATGCTTTGCTTATGTTTGAGCAGCTTCGGGAATCGATGGTTTTCATATCTTGCAAATTCGGACTCTTAACTTCGCTAGCTTTATATACGGATATAATTTATCGATAGAAGTTGGAGCTATATTTTTCATTTACCCTGGTCAAACAAAGCATAAATTTTTAAATTTCTCTTTCGTTCTTTGTTTATTATTTCCTATTTTCTCTACTCTAATTTAAACATCAAATTCATCCAAAAACAAATTTTTTTAATAATTGTTTCCTATTTTCTGCGCTCCAAATTAAACATCAAATTTACCCAAGAACAGAAAATAAGCAAAAATAAGTGGAAAAAGAAAAAGAAAAAGAAAAGAAGAACGACATACTTGAAGTAGAACCAACGTGAAAATGGCAACCCAACAACTGGGAAAAACGAACAACACCGTTTCCTAAAAATACAAAACAGAACCAAATCATGCACCCATAATAATAATGACGACACACAAACGAAAAAAAGACGAATCACCGTTTGCTAAAACGCCTAAGAAAGAAGCAGAAAAAACAAAGGAAAATTTGAGGAAAGAAAGATATAAAAATGAAAGAAAAAGGAAGAAGCCCTCTCAGCAGAAAGTCCCCCGACGATCAACACGTGGAAGACAAAAAGCAGAGCAAAATCAAAAAAATAAAATAACCAAAGGCAAGGTGGAAGACATCGGGACTTCTCACAATTTTTAATATTTGTTTTCCATGCATTCAAAAAAATTTATAATTTTTTATTGTGTTATGTGCCACATACGTGGATTAACTCATTTTTTTAAATATTTGTTGTCAGTTTTTTTATTATTAATTTATCTTTCTTTGTGCCCACACTCTGCAAAGACTCTGCATTCAAATTTTTTTATAATATTTTATTGTGTTCCGTGCCACCTACTGCAGGAGACTCGGCGTGAAAGACAAAAAGCCGAGCAAAATAAAAAATAAAATAATCAAAAGGCAAAGGAATGGAGACAGGTGGGTTTCTCACAATTTTTAATAATTATTTTGTCCATGCATTCAATTTTTTATAATTTTTTATTGTGTTGTGCGTCAGAAACCATGTGGCCTGATTTAAGTCATATTTTTTAAATAATTTTTTGTCAGTTTTTTAATTAATTATTTTATCTTTCTTTATGCCACAACTCGACGATCATAGACACAACATGGGCAATACAGGTATTTTACTGTGTGAAGCAGGCAGCAAAACGGTATTGGAACGAAAAAATCAAGGGCATTTCCGCCCTTTTACTATTTATGAATAGTGCTAAAACTCAACCGAGTTTTAGTATATATAATTTGTGTATTCAATTTCTTTTAAATTTTTTAGAGCTAAATAGTCATTTCATGTTAAAATACATGAGTGATTTAATAATATATATTTATGTAAAATGTATTTAACAATATGTGGGATACTAATAAAAAAACCCATTACCATCGTCAATCTTCAAACATAGTTCTGTGGTCCAATTACAAATCCATGTTTACTATTCTACAAATCAGGACATGGAGTTAGCGTGGTCATATTGAAGACTAATAATATTCAAAAATTCCAAGCGTCAACTCCACGCTTGTCGGGAAGATTAGACCGCGTCAGTCAACACTGGCACCATACAGCTCTTGGTTGAGTAGAAAATCCTTTCAGAAATTCCAAGCGTAAAGAAAGGATTAGAATCTCTGCACCTCTAAAGTTGTTACTAGCTCCCATATTTATTTGTGACGCATACAAACTGGCAAAAAAAACATATCATACTGCAACTCAAAACCATGACATTTCTTTATATGCTCCTCCTGCTGTCCGCATTCCCATTGATCAAAACGACATCTATATCTTCAAGAAAACAAGCAGAATCGCTCGTCAAATGGAAGGACGGCCTTTTTAATTCATCATCATCATCATTATCGCCACCTTCGCTTCTCAATTCATGGTCCCTCACCAACCTCAACAGCCTCTGCAACTGGACTGCCATTTCCTGCTCCAAAACCAGAATAATCTCCAAAATAGACCTCTCCAATATGCACATTATCGGATCACTGTCCCTTTTCGACTTTCCCTTATTTCCAAATCTCACCCACTTCAATCTAAATGGCAACAGTTTCGGAGGGCGTATACCGTATGCCATTGGAAATCTCTCCAGGCTCATATCTTTGGACTTGGGCAACAACTTTTTTGATCAACAAATTCCCTCTGAGATTGACCAGGTAACAGAGCTTCAGTATCTAAATCTCCGCGACAACAGTCTCTCTGGTACCATCCCTCATCAACTGAGCAATCTCCAAAAGGTATGGTACATGGACCTTGGATTAAACTATTTTAACTATACTGATCAAGATTGGTCAGAATTTGCAGGCATGCCTTCATTGACCTACCTTGATATGTCTACGCAACGTGATAATCTATATCATTCTGAATTCCCAGAATTTATATCTCAATGTCGGAACTTGACGTTCCTCGACTTGTCTCAAAATAATTTGAATGGCCAAATTCCACCTTCGATAGGCCAACTCAGGGAGCTCCAGTACCTTGATCTTTCATACAACTCCTTAAACTCTTCTATCCCTTCTGAGCTTGGTCTTTGTACAAACCTCACCCACTTGTCTCTGGCTTCCAATCAACTCAACGGGGAACTGCCTCTGTCCTTGTCCAATCTGAACAACCTCGTCGAATTGGGTTTGGATAATAACCGATTCTATGGCAGGATTCCACCTTCGATAGGCCAACTCAGGGAGCTCCAGTACCTTGGTCTTTCAAACAACTTCTTAGACTCTTCTATCCCTTCTGAGCTTGGTCTTTGTACAAACCTCACCCACTTGTCCCTGGCTTCCAATAAACTCAACGGGGAACTGCCTCTGTCCTTGTCCGATCTGAACAACCTCGTTGAATTGGGTTTAGATAATAATCTATTTACTGGTCAAATCCTTCCTTCTCTGGTCTCCAATTGGACTAAAATGGTTTCTTTGCAACTTCAGTCCAATGAACTCAGTGGGGAGATTCCGACGGAAGTTGGAAATATGAGCTTTCTGTTTACCCTCAATCTAAGAAGGAACCACTTGACAGGAGTGATCCCTCATACTCTAGGCAACTTAGCTGAGCTTGAGCTGCTCGATTTGTCTCACAACGACTTGAAAGGAGTAATCCCACGGTTTCTAGGATTAAGATTAGAGGTTCTCAATATCTCACACAACCATCTTTCAGGGCAAATCCCATCATTTGTAACCATGTTATTTCTTCGTGCCTTTGATTTTTCTTATAACAACTTGACTGGCCCAATCCCAGGCGTTTTCCAATCGGCACCAGAAAATGCTTTTGTTGGAAACTCTGGCTTGTGTGGGTATGTACAGTGTGTAGACAGTAGATCCACTTGGCCCAACAGAAATTCCGAAAAGAGTAACAAAAGAGTTCTACTTGGTATCCTTGTGCCTGTTTGTGGTTTATTAATGGTTACAACTGTCATTGGTCTTATGTTCCGTAAAAAATCCAGTCTCGTTTTGAACAAAGTCAACACTTCTGAAAACTTTGAGAGTTTGGAGTCAATGATATTGCAAGAGGAAGTAAAGTTTACGTTTGCAGAAGTTGTGAAGGCTGTAGATGACTTTCATGACAAGTACTGCATTGGGACAGGAGGGTTTGGAAGGGTTTACAAGGCAGAGTTGCAATCAGGCCAAGTTGTTGCAGTTAAAAGGCTTAACATGTCAGACTCTAATGATATTCCAGCAATCAATCTCCATAGCTTTCAGAATGAAATCCGAACTTTGACAAGCATCCGGCACCGAAACATCATAAGGCTCTATGGCTTCTGTTCAAGAAAGGGGGGTTGCATATTCCTGCTTTATGAATACTTAGAGAGAGGAAGCCTAGGAAAAGCTTTGTACGGAGTTGAAGGTGTTAATGAACTTGTCTGGGCTACTAGAGTCAAAATTGTGCAAGGACTTGCTCATGCACTTTCTTACTTGCACCATGATTGCTCTCCACCTATTGTGCACCGTGACATAACCGTCAACAATGTATTGCTTGAGTCTGATTTTGAGGTTCGTCTCTCAGATTTCGGAATAGCCAGGTTATTGAGTACTGATTCATCCAACTGGACAGATATTGCTGGTTCATTTGGCTACATAGCACCAGGTAATGTAAACTTAATTTGTACATTTATGGTTCATCTTTTTGCTTATTGGGATATGTTTTAAGGCAGCTAGTTTTGTTTTTATTGATGTGCAGAGCTTGCATACACTATGCGAGTCACGGATAAATGTGATGTATATAGCTTTGGAGTGGTGGCACTCGAAGTCATGATGGGAAGGCACCCAGGGGATATGCTAGAGTCCCAGCTACAAGAATCATCAAAGTCAAGGAGGGACAATGTAGAATTGCTCCTGAAAGATTTGTTAGACCAAAGGTTGGAGCCGCCAACCAATGAATCTGCAAAGGCAGTGGTGCTTGTAGTGACAATGGCCTTGGCCTGTATACGAACACGTCCTGCATCAAGACCCACGATGTTATTTGCGGCACAAAAACTCTCAGCTCAAACCCTGCCTTGCCTTCCCGAACCATTTGGTATGTTGACAATCAACAAGCTAATGGCACTATGAAAAATAAAACAAAAAAAAAAAGAAGACAAGGGCGAATAGCTCAAACTTCCCTTTTGTATTCCTGCCACACACAATTCCATCTAATTTCTCGTGTAATACATCTTCAGTACCGTAATTACTCATCTGTATTATTTGTCGAATGTGGATTAATGTGTGAATTTTCTTAATCGTAATTGCATTAAACCGATAATCCATAATGTGTCACAATAACTCCACAATTAATAAAAAAAATTGAATTATGGATTTGTGTCCTTCCTCTAGTTCAAAGAGCTACCCTAAAAAATTGAACCTACATGGATAATTTTCGCCATGGATTATTTTGAAGGCAAACACATATGGTGTTGTGCTAGGATAGCATCAAATATGAAACCAATAAGCAACAACGGCAAAATATGACAATACAAAAATCCAAATGACACAGGATTTATACTGGTTCGGCGTAAGCCTACGTCCAGTTCCGAGACGGCGAGAAAATTCCACTAATATCAAAAGGAGATTACAAATTGATGTTTTAACTCTCAAACCCAAAGCCCACATACACCCAATAGCTCTCACTCTCACAAAGAAACAAATGGAGAAGATAGAAACATATACCAAATTCCTCCTCTCCCAAAAGCCACAAAATGTAGCACAAATATCTTTGATTGAGTGATCACTAACAAAGGGGGATTACAAACAAATGGGAAGGAGCAGCACTGTTTCAAATGGGAGAGTCGAATGCTCTCTCCTCTGCTCTACTTGCTCTCTTCAGAAAATGAGTTCACACCTTTCCTTTAAATAAAAATCAGCCCCTTTTCTTCTCCTCCTTTCTTCCAGCCGAAAACCAACTAATTATGGCTTTGAAAAAAAACCACAAAACACGGAACAAAACAAGCCACAAAACAAGGAACAAAACAAGCCACAAAACAAGGAAACATAATCCTCATCATGATGTTCCCTCATCAATTTTCTTTCATTCTTTTGTTTTGTTTCCTAGCCTAATTTGGCCACTATCCAACATATGGAACTACACGTCGAAGTAGATTTGATCTTCCAGGCATTCTTAAACTTTTCCGCTATGTCGAATATAGGTTTGTGCCTTTCCTCTCTAAATCTGCAACAGCCAGAACTGCTTTCACATTCACACTACAGCACAATAGAAGACACTTCGACACGACAATCTGTTAAATTAGCAAATGGGGAAGTGGTGGAATAACACCGTAGTATTGTGAGCAAGTCTCGGGTGTCAAGGCCACGGGGGACGTCCCTGTGGCTTTTCAACAAATTAACCAAACAATGTTGTAAAAACTGACTTTGAGAGTGAGGAACAGTAAAAGGTAGGTGCTTTGGCCCTCCTCCACGCATCATATATACCGACGAAAAGAGTACATGTTGTCTATAGATTTCCTCAGGATTGACAAAAATACAGAAGAAAACCACCAGCTAGACAAAATTGACACAAGTCCTCGGCCTGCTCCGCTTCAAGATCATGACGATGATAATGATGATGGTGATGAGCAGTTGTCATCAGGTGCAGCAGGTTGTTGTGCATGATCTTGGTTAGGGTACTCACTACGCATCATCTCTCCTCCAATATGATCAAAGATATTCGCAATCAAGTCCTCATAATCATCTCATTCAACTGTTGTTCTTTGCCCCGTCTCGATCTCATCTGCAACAGAGGCCGCAGCAGCAGCAGCAGGATCAGACAGGAGATCAAACTCTCCCATCAAGGCTTCCAAATTGAATCTCAAAAGATCATCATCATCTTTTCTCTCACTGCCTCTCTATCTGACCCTGCAGTGCAGCAGGGCAGACGCCTAACAAACTGCAAAACCACAATCAACACTTTGAAGAACTCTTCAAAATGAGATAATTTTAATACAGTCCACCACTTCAAACCAAAAAGTGCATACATAGACAAGATGAAACAACAAATATGCCACAAATTGAAGCATGAAAAGGCAAGCATACCTTGCCTGCAGATGATATACTATCGAAGGGAGGAACAGCCCTCCTTGCAATATATACTTCTTGACTTTACATAAATTTGAAGGTCAATATTGTAGAATAACAAACAAGAGTATAAAGCATAGAAGGAAGCGTTGTTCAATTCGACAAGGTAAGACTTTTCTGAAATCTAAAATCACGACCATCATCGTGCACTATCTTAATACCGAAAAAGGTAGGTGCATTGGCCCTCCTTGCAATATATACGTCTTGACTGTACATAAATTTGAAGGTCAATAATGTCGAATAAGAAACTAAAATCACAACATATGAGTGCGATGTTCACCATCATGGTGTACTCTCTTAATACCTGACGTGGAAAACAGGAAATTGATGACCCTTTGCAAATTTTGAATAATTTGATAATTTATATTACTTATTCATCTTAGTGTGTCTCTATGCATGTCAAACGATAACAAACATCAGAAATGCAGTTGAAGGCATTTCTTTCAAATGATCAAAATGACAGTCAAATATGGGCTGTGAGGATTGTCATGCTCTCACAAATGCGACATACATAATATCAGAAACATCAACAGCTACTGAAACTGAAAACCTAAGAGACAGTAGCTTCAAAAACTAGTCCTACATGATGAAGAAATCCACACCAAAAGAAAGTACACAGGAAACAGCATGTGAGCTCTGCATCCTACCTCGTACTTAAAGAGATGCAATTTGTAAAGAAAGAATAAAGTGCTTCAATTTTTTAGAATCACGACCATCCCGTTGAGCAGAGAAATTAAAGAACTAATAGGGAATCGACGTGAAAACGAAGTACTGGTTGTCGACTACCTGACGCCCTCCCCTCCTCCTTTATCCGGGCTTGGGACCGGTAGCGTAAGATAAACTTACACGGGCGGAGTTAGAAAATCAAAGAACTGTAAAAAGAAAATCAGTTATGGACAAGATGTCAAGACCAATAGAACTGTAAAAGCAAAACAGTCCAAAAACACAACTGAGGACAACAGCGAGAAACTTGCATTGCTGGTCCAAAACAGAACTGACACATCTAATATAGACTAAGGTATGAATACTAAAAAAAATAAAGAGAGAAAACTTACATTCCACAAAAAATCCATAAAAACAGTGGCAAGAAACATGATAATTGTCCTTATCATCAACAAAACTATCAACACGTTCACAAACTGACACTGAACACACTTACACACCATGTTACCATCAAAATTCAAGCACAATACACAGAACCTGCACACGCTCACAAGCCACACATGCAGAGGGAGTAATTCAAAGGAAAAGAAAACATTAATTTGGTTTTCAAATTTAGTATAGTAATTAAAATCATCAACCTTGAAACCTTCTGTCAATTAAAATAAAAAGAAAGTAAGAAACTTGGGTCGAAAAGAAATGAATTATAAAGCATTCAGTGCATTAAAATTGGAAACGATCCTAGAAGCACATGCATACAGATGACTAGGGGAAACGCAGTAGAGACCTGAGGTGCAGCAAAATGAAAGGCAGGCAATGGATCAGACCTATACCAAATTTCTTAATTAACTAATGAACCAAAAGAAATCAAAGCATATATACTAAGAATGGAAATAAAATATATCCTGATCATAACTGTGCTTCTATATGCACGCCATGGAAATTAGACAGCTGCCATCACGTATACATCCCTCTATTGATCATTCACAGAATCGCTCATCCACAAACAGTCTGTCCAGTAATTGAACCCGTCTAACGGTTGGCTGAATTCGTCAATTTGAGGCCACTCCCGGGGCAATTTACCTTCAAGCGTTGTCAACCATTCTTTAATGTCTCCACGCACTGCTTCACCATCTAAAGGATATTCCTCGCCGCCCAAGAATACCGGAGAAGAAGGAACATCACTCATCAGTGGCACATATTCATGACCTGAAATATGAGTGGGAATGGGCATCACATTTCCGTTAATGTAGCTTATGCACCCCTGGTCGTGATTGGTAGTGTCGCCGTCCAAGCATATGGGATAAGAAGGAACATCACTCATCAATATCACACTATCCTGATCAGAGAAATCAGTCGGCTTTGCATTGCCGTTAATGTTGGTTATGCACTCCTGATCCCAATACCTAGTGTCAGTAATCATATTGCTTTCAGTTCCAACAAAAGGCACAACAGCAGGGGTATTGGTGATCACATTCACATTAGAATGTTTTTGTGAACCCGGTTCTTTTCTTGCTCTCTTTCTCTTAATCAGCAGCTTCTCATTCGATACTTCTTTTATTGCCCTCTTAATCGGTGGCTTCTCATTGAAGTCATGAGTTGGACTTGAGGAATTCATCTTGTTTCCGCACCTAGACCTCGGATTCCTTTTAAGTCGCGAAAGAACGACCTTTGGGGCCAGCAACCACATTAGGAAGAAGACTGTACTCTTCTAACAGCCAGCCGCCATTGTTGTTAGAACCCTTGTTGTTATACCTGAAATGCCTTTTATCCCCGATTGGAATTCCGTCCAAACCTAAAACTTTGTCGGAGGATGTTTCGCTCCAAGTGCCTCCGGCTTCGATCTGGCGTTTGCTGCGGCTATCGCTGTCGCTTCTAGAACGCAGCTCATAGAAGAAGAACAAGTCCTGATCGAGTAGGGAATTTCCACCGAATTGCTCCCAAACCACCCAGGGTGGTGTTTGTCCAAAGAGATTGAACTCGTGAACAAACGGGTTGCCTAAGGGCTTTCCGGAGAGGGCTCTATCGCGAAGATAGGAACTGACCAATTCTTGATCAGTAGGATGAAACCGAAAACCCAATGGCATACCGTAATAACCCACCTCCATTGTTAAACGCGATTTCAATTCAATGCAATTCAAAACAAAACACAATGCAGCAGCAAAAACCCTAAATTTTTCTTTGGGCACAAAATAAAGAAGAGAAAATAAGCGAGAAATTAAAGATAAGAAAAAGGGAAACCTGGAAGCCAATTTCGCTCGCTCGCCGAGGAGAGCAGCTCGTCGACGTCTCCTCAATCGCCGTCTTCGTCCCCAAACAAGAGCAACTGAAGAGGAATCGATTTCGAGTATTCTGTAATTCAATTCAACCGGAGACTGTTGGAGCACTGAATTCTAGTTCTGGTTCAAATTCGAACGCGCAGAGAGAGCGAGAGAGAGAACGCAGAGAGAGCGAGAGAGAAAGATCTTGAGAGAGAGATCTAGAGAGAGAGAGGATTTGAAATTTAAACGGAAGAAAATATGACCGTTTGGTTTGGGAATTGGATGTTAACGTCGCAAACTTGCAAGGCTCACCGCTTAAGCGCGGGATTACGTGGCATTTTCATATCTACGAAACCCTAAATCCCCAAATTGTGGAATCTGGATTCTCGCCAGATTCTTTTTATGAGGATCCAGAAAATTCATGAATCATATCGATTTATTGTACATCGTGTGGTCAAAAATTATTTTAAAATATTTTATTTAAAATTAAACAAACAGTACTTGACAAAAACTGACTGTATAATATAAGATAAACGAACATAATTTACGGATCCTCAGTATCCTTACCAAAATGATCCGGAGAGGATCCTGTTGGCAAATTGTGAGCCAAATGACTAGAATAACGCAGGAAAAAAAAAAAGAATTTCGATTGGGCTGGGTTCCCTTTTTTACTTCTTGGCCTATTTTTTATTCAGCTGGGTTCTTTTGGTTTTCCGGCATTCTATTGGCAATTTTTTTTTAGATTTTTTATATAGATTAATGAACCCAAACATTTAAGGGTGAATGTTGGATTGAAAGTTTCGATTTCGACATGAAAAAAGATTTGTTTCGTATTTTTATTAACATAGCATTGCATGATTGACACGAGAAGTCATAGTCACGATGTACTAATGTCATAAAAATTGCTCAATATGGATATATTTCGCAATAGGAAATCGTGACTATGACTTAAACATAAGAAATCATAGGAAATCACGATTTTTTTTATTTCCTATGTCTAACCTACAGTCACGAATTCCTATGATTGACACAAGAAGCCATAATCACAATGTTCACATGGCGCTGCATATACATTTTTCATAGAAGTGACAAGATTTTCTCCCAACTCTAATGCACCTTTATGTTCTTCCTATCCAAAACTATGTTGGAGAAGATTTCATAAGAAACACGTCCAGAATCCGTCATTACCAGATTGATTATTCATGAAACGAAATGTAGAGGTCGAAACAAACAGTGAAAAACTGAGTACTACTGTTCGCTACGACAACAATGTCTGAAAATTGAAACAAAAACTCAAAGTGTGCTGAAAGAAATGACAAGAACAAAAGTAAGTGCAATCAAAAGTATTGGGAACTTCATGTATATTCATATGTATATTGTCTACAGATTTCCTCAAGATTGACAAAAGTACAGAGTAAGACCACCAGCTAGACGAAATAACAAACTGAAAACTATTCTATCCACAACAACAACAAAGCATTTTCCCACTAAGTGGGGTCGGCTATATGAATCCTAGAATGTCATTGCGCTCGGTTCTGTATCACGTCTTCCGTGTAAATAAAAAGACCGAAAACTAATAAACTAACTATGATTAAACCGGAAGTCGGAAAAAAAAAAAGCTGAAAGGTAACCGTGCTCATCTGAATTCTTGAACTCTACAAGTAGTATAAAAACAAGAGCTGACGCTAATAGCTTGACAACTTGATTCACGAAAGGCGTGTATACTCCGTGTAAAGTCCTCTTCCTCCTGCTCCGCTTCTAGATGATGATGATGGTGAGCAAGCAAATCAAGAGAAAACGGAGAACCGAGGCCCGTGGCCTTCCTATGTTTCCAACCACAACTGGCAAAATAATGATTTGAACAGGAGGGAAGGGATGATGGTGATGAGCAGAGTAGTGTGATCAGGTTCAGTAGCTTGATGTACATGATCTTGATTTGGGTTTTCATCATCCTCTCCTCCAATATGATTAAAGAATTCAGTGATCAAGTCCTCCTCATCATCCAACTCTCTTTCATCCGTGGTTCTTGGCCCCTCCTCAATCTCGTGATGATGATGACCGAGATGAGTAGTTAGCCGAGGCACAACTGCAGCAGCCTCGTCTGCAGCAGAGGCCGCAACAGCAGAATCAGGCAGAAGCTCAAACTCGTCAATTAAGGATCCTAACAGATCATCATCCCAGCTATCATATGCTTCGGTGGTGCTGCTTGAGGACCCCTCGTGATGAAGTAGATCATCAAGCTCCCTAATCGAGTCCTCCATTGCCAAAAGACCATCATCAAAATCATGAGTCCTCTGCCTCTTGACCGTATCACCCAAAACCGTAACGGCATCATCGGAATCGGAATCGGAATCAGGGAAACGCGGACGCTTGAGAGAAGAGACAGTGGGCCTCAAATCTTGACCCCCCCATCTCCAATTTCTTCACGAAACGCAACACAAACAGACGAAAGCGGTGTGCTTTCTGCGAAAAACCAAAACCCTAAGTCGGTAATGTGGAAGACGAAAAAGCAACACTTTCCAAACACGATAAGGGATTTGGGAATTAGGGTTTCTTGTTACAGTGCTAGACAGACAGAAATTAAAGATACCGAGAAATAAAGTAGAAGAAAAGGCAAGAACTGAACCTGGAACTGGGAACAAGTCGTTGATTTCCTTCTCAGAGAAGAGGATGCATTCGTCCCCAAATTTGAATCGAGCTTCCAATTTCAACAACTAGAGAGAGATCAAGCGACAGCGAGAGAGAGAGAGAGAGCAACAAATTTGAATTGGGCTTCAAATTCGGACGCACACAGAGAGAACGAGCAGAGAGTGAGAGCGAGAGTGAGAGAGCACGAGCAGAGAAAGAGGGCGATCCAGAGATCCAGTGAGAGAGTGGGATGGGGGTTTTGAAATTTAAAGAGAGGAAAATATGACCGTTTGGGAATTTGACCGCTTAAACGCGGGTTTCATCACGTGCCGTTTTCTTTCTGCTCTTTGGCGCCTGCGAGTGGGAAGCCCTCCCCAACCCGGCCCAATTGTGTTCCGAATGACTAAATTACCCTCGAATTACAAATCATGCAGATTCAGGAGCTCGGGGTATTTTAGTCAAACCAAAAACTCAAAAGGATCGCAGAATCGTATCACCGTCTTGGTTACTGAGTTGTTTGTTTGATCCAGTTGTATGTGAGAAGTGTGGCGTTTGGGAGTACTCAATGCGAGTAAGGTGTTCTATAAATTTTTGAAATCGATAGAAGGAGAATTTGTCCACCATCACTCATTTTGAATCATTCTGTAAAAAATTCTATTAAATATATATAAAATAACAAAAACACTCTCAATTTAATAAACAATGAGCCAAAATGATTTGATAAAACTTAAGAATTTTTTTATCATTTAACCTTATTTAATGAAAATTTTACACGAAATGATCAAAATGATTGATGATGGATAAAGTCATAGACCACTTCTATAGATCTTAAATCTCAAGATTCGGAATGATCAGTTATGCTAATTTCAATGACCATTTCGGCTATAAAACTATAATAGACGATAGAAATCAAAAGTGTCAAATTCCTCCTCCGTAATATTTCCACACTCATCTTTATTCTCAACCCATCAAATTTCCTCATCATTAATATACTTTTTAGCCATGATTTTCTAATAATTTAGTCAAAACATTTTCCGAATATCGATTGGACACATGTTTAAGGACTTTGAAACCAAAAAATGGCCACATTTTAATTAGCAAAATATATTTCAAATACAAATAGTATAGAATAGGGCTAGTGTCATATTGGAAATCAAGCACTCACGTCGTTCACCGTTCGAAGCAGAATTTAGAAGAACCAACATTCTTGATCATATGCTAGTTGAGCGCGAACTGCAAAAACCAAAACCAAAACCAAACAATGACGCGAAAAGCATCAGATATGCGATGTTTTTTGTTGTGCTAGGATAGCACCAAACCTTTTTGGAACCAACTCAAGCTAACCCACAAGAAATATATCAAATGAAAATGCAAGAACAAAATATTAAAGACACCAAGATTTAACGAGGTTCCTCAACAGTCAGTGTAACTGGAGTACGTCCTCGGAGCAGTAGGAGCTCACCTAATAATCCACTATCAATCAAATGGGAGTTTACAAAGTGTTGGCAATCTCACAACCCAAATAACCCAATACACCCAATAGCTCTCACACACCACATAAACAAATAGAGAAAGAAATATAATGAATAATTTCTTCTCTATACATGTAACTCAAAGCTATTACAACAATAATTATGATGGATGATTGCTAACCAAAAAGAAGAGCACCTTCTTCTTCTTTTCTGCTCTCAGTTTTCTGCTCTCTGCAACTCTCTTTGCTCTCTCAAAGATGGGCTACTAAAACAGAAAAATGGTGCACACTTCCTCTATCATTCTCACTTCCGTATCCTCACTTCATCAATACAACACCCAATAAAAAACTCAAAAACATCATCATGACCATCAATTTTTCTTTTCAACAAACATAATCATGATGCCTCCTCATCATGATGTCTTTCACCTTTTTTTATTTTGGTTTGTTTATTAGCCGAAAGTTGTTTTGTTTTGTTGTCCACTTGGCCACTTGGCCACAATTCAACAATCTCCACCTTGGCCAAGTTCCGAAAAACGCCATGATAAGCCAACCAACACAATTAACACACAACATCACTCCCAAACACTAGCAAGAGAACAACTCATGCCGAGCCAAATGCTCCAAAACTCCTACTGCTCAACGCCTTCTTTATATAGGCAAAATGTGAGCCAAGTTCAAGCAATGAACAAACTTGGCTACACCAACAACCTTAGTCAACATATCAGCGGGGTTGTCTTTAGTTGGAATCTTCTGGAGAATGATTTCCCCTTCACCAACAATTTCACGAACAAAGTGATAACGCACATCTATGTGCTTGGTCCTCGCATGATGAACCTGATACTTAGCCAAATAAATGGCACTCTGACTATCACAATGTACCTCCACCTGCTTCTGATCAACCCCCAAATCTCTAATCAGCCCATGTATCCAAATGGCCTCCTTTATAGCTTCAGCAACTGCCATATATTCAGCCTCTGTAGTAGACAAGGCAACAGACGACTGCAAAATGGACCTCCAACAAACTGGTCCTTTAGCCATAGTAAACACATAGCCTGTAGTAGACTTCCTTCCATCCAGATCACCTGCATAATCTGAATCAACATAACCAACTGCAAAATGACCAATACCATAGTCATCTCTCTCAAAGCATAAACCAACATCTCGAGTACCATGGAGATACCTCAATATCCACTTAGCTGCTTGCCA